ACATCTGTGAAATATTACTACCAGTAACGCGTAGCGGCGGTTCAAGAGCGAGAGCAGAACCAGCATCTTACACCGTCAGCTTGTTGACTTAAATTATTTTTGGGGGTTTTTGTTTAGCTTTCTGAGTGTCATGCTCTTCCGGGTGCGTGTTGGTGCGCTGCTTTACCTGCTACCTGACCGCTCCGGATGTCCTTTTTTCCTGCATCGAGCCTCGATATAGCCAAACTTCGTCAAGTACTTGCTTTTTAAATACCACATGAGATTCGTTGTGCTGGCGCATTTTCACTTGCTTCATCCCCGATGTAATTTTCCGCCGCAACATGGAAACGTCCCCATTCACTCTCAGAGCGTTACGACAGGATTTGTTATAAGACTGACTGGCCTACACGAACTATAATGAACAGGGTCCTTATCCTTTTTAACCCTTTTTATGTAGAAATGGGGTCCTACCGATCCCACACACGTAAAACTTGTATCATTTTCCATTGTCCTCTACGTTTGCCTCAGTCCTCGCACGCACAAGGGTTAAGTGGGACTGAGTTTATAGTTTTTTGACAGCTTTCCATTTACCAAGGATTCATCATAAACTGACTTCAGTATAGGTACGAGTTTTGAAGAAAATTTCCTGAAAAACTCTTTGGGTAGTTTGACAGCTTGCTATGTGGTTAAACTTGATAGCTCGCTATCAAGTGGTTGGAATACAGAAACATTGACAGTCTTCAGACTTCTCAAAATATTTTGAAAGCCTAGTAGCATTCTCCTTCCACTTCAGACCACAACTTGGTGTGGGTCCAAACATAAAAAAACATTAAAAAAATACAATGAGATTGTTGGGAAAAAGTTGAATAGGTACTTTACAATGCTTTTGAAATGCACCATTGTACATGTACACACAGTTATGATAATGAAAATCTGTAATGGTCAATCCTTCATTAAGTTCATTTCTACACCGTCAAATTTTCTTTTTGACACCTCTAACATGGATAAGAACATCTGGAGAAAGTAATATTTTAATAAGTTGTATGACTTTGTCTCACACTCTGCTGGAGAGGATGGCTGATTATCAGCCTTTTATTTTACTGTGGCAGAGAACAAAACATTAAAAGCGTCATCGACAGTTACTTAAAAGGAATGTGTGTTTCTATGTATCTGCAGCTTAAAAAAAAACAAGTTTATGTGGAGAAAGTGGAAAGGATGCAACAGGCTCTGGCTCAGCTCCAAGCAGCATGTGAGAAGAGAGAACAACTAGAACACCGTCTTCGTACAAGACTGGAAAGAGAGCTGGAGTCTTTACGTCTGCAGCAGGTAACCATTTCACAATTCTGTATTCCTAAAGTATCTCCACAGTTCTGTATCAACATTGTGATATTTCACTGCTAGCTTTTAGCTAAAAATAACTATTGATTTATATGCTTAATTAAGAGTACTTGTGCAGTATTTGCAATAATAAGTCTTAACAAAATCTATGTATCAAGCTGCAGCATTTCTTTTCTGGGAAACCAGGATAGAGTATTGCCATCTACAGCTTTAACTTTGATAAATTGTAAGTGATTGATGTCTGTGGAGCTAAAACCGTCTCATAATTCACAAAAGAACAGATTGAGATTCACAAATGCAGAGAACAAGTTTCACATTTGTACTTTTGATGCAAACACAAATATATCTTGATTTCCAAGTTTCTTTCTGGCTTGTGATTTGTGCAGCAGCATTTGAATTTTGAGACTCCCCTGATGTCTGAATCCACAAATGTCTTTATTTAATAAATGGTCTATCTGATTGGATAATCAGCAACCAACTTCCTTGTTACAGCCAATCACATAAACGGACCCATATTTCAGCCAATCACATTAACCTATTGTGATTGGCTTAAACAAGGAGGCCATCTGTTTGGTTGCTGATCATTCAATCAGATATACCATGTATTTTAAAAAAAAAGACATTTGTGGATTGAGATGTTAGTCTCAAAATTCACACACAAATGCAGCGCAGCTCACAGACTTGTAAATCAAGATATATTTGTGTTTGGATCAAAAATACAAATGTGTCTTATTCTCTGTGAATCTCGTCCTGTGTATTTGTGAATTATGAGACTGTTTTAGCTCCATAGATGTCTGCTTGCAGCCTTTTGTTGGAGCAATGTCATGATTACTTAAGTCCATGTAATTTTAGGAGTTTTAAATTTTCAGTGTTCTGAGTGTTTTTCAGTTGATAATGATTACAAAGATTAAGCTGTTTTGGACCCACTGCTGTCCAAAATACTGCTGTTCAGATTTTAACTAGCAAAACCAAAATATTGATAACAATGATGGAGTTTAGAGCTATTAAAATTAATTGTATACTACCTCAGACAGACACTATCGGAGATGAACGTGTGAACTTTTAGAAAATGTTTTTCTTATGTCTTCTGCATGTTTTTTTTTTCCCGTCAATCTTCATGTGTTAATCATGCCATTCAGCGTCAAGGAACCTCACAGAGCAGCAGCTTGGTGACATCAGAGTACAATGCCACAGCACTAATGGAGCACCTAAGAGAGAAGGAGGAGCGCATTCTGGCTCTGGAGGCTGACATGACTAAATGGGAGCAGAAGTATTTAGAGGAAAGTGTAATGAGGCAGTTTGCCCTGGATGCTGCCGCGTCCGTTGCTATGCAGAGGTGAGATTTCTCAAGTTGAAGACAGCATCAGGTTTCAAGCCTGAATTTAGTTTTGTGTATATGTGAAAATCTGTTTATCTTGACTGTCTTGTTTTACAACATTATGACGACTGGTCATAATGCTTAGTTTGCACCATAAGTTAGAAGTAATGCACAAGCTGACTCTTGCCAAAGCTCATGAAAAACTATGTAGACAGTTCAAATTCTGATTTCCCCTCAATCTGACGGCGATGTCAGAATACTGAGTTTAAGTAACTGACAATTACACAGTCATGATGAAATGACAACCCCCTCCCTGGACTTCTGTGGACATTCACAAAAGATGAATAGAGAGCAAAAAAACTGGTAGCCTTTCTGTCAATCGGCTGGAGTTAAGCCAAATCATTAGGTAGTTTTCCATTAGACCATCTCTAACCTGTTTACCCTGGTCCAACCCAGCCAGAATAATTTTCCATTAGTACATCTGACTCGGCTCTGGCTGGCTGTTCTCTGATTTTTGTACCTTCTTCAGGGATAGTACTAGCCGCACCGAGCCAGGTATGGCACTGAAGTGATTTGTTTGACAGTTGGCACCATTCCCTGATTGGCTCATGATTACCTCACAGCAAACTCTAAAACAATATTATATATTAGCTGTGGAGAGCTTACATAGCATCTGCTATCAGAGAGGTGCTCAGAGGAGCATATTATGAGTTTAATCAGGAGCATCGCCAGAAACACATGCTTTAAGTTTTGTAGCGCAGTAAGCAGCTGGTCTCTCCGAAGAATGAACAGCAGTAAAGCAGAGAGAAATGGTGCAGCTGTAGTCAGCTTTCTGTCGGAGCAACAGTTTTGCGCCGACAGTATGAAACACTCACATGAAATACTAACGTTCTGCCCACAATAGTAAGGAACAGACCGTATAACGAAGAAGCTCATTACCATGGGTAGAACCGAACCACACATTAACGGGTTAGTGCACAACTAGCCAAGAGCCTATTAATACCCATGACAAATTTTCCATTTAAAAGGATTATTTTTCCAACCAAGAACTTTGTTTCTGATAGAAAATAAGTGTTATACTTCAACAAAGAAAGTGATCTAAAAAATAAAAATCTGATATAAAATACGAATCTGATATAAAATAAAAATCTGATTTTAATAAATATTTATTATTTTAAGAATACTTTTAACAGTTCTTATTTATATTTGGAATTAACATAGTATACCAATTTAGTAAGACCTTTCTAAATAATCAATCAAAAATGTATTGTGGGTTTTCTCAACACATACACTTTTAAATTCAGGTGCCTGATTTTCATCCTGAAGGAACAATTTTAACTAGGAAGGTTCCAATAGTATTGTGATTTCTGGAAACAAATATTCTTCCATATTCACTTGCAATATTTGCAATTGTTTCTTTTTTTGTAATGTTAATTTTTATCTCTTGCATGTTCCCAAAAAGCCCCATTACTGCTGACTTGGGCTAGTGTTACTAGCAGTAATTTGCTTAAACTTTTCAGTAAACAATAATTTGCTAATGCTTAGGAAAGTAAAGTAATCATAGTTTACAATAGCTGAAATTATACACTTTTTTATTTACAAGATAACAAATGTTGAGCTGTGTACCACCAAATAGGAACATCAGTAATATGATCTAGGCTGAATAGGAATTGTTGTGTGGGAATTTGGCAGAATCTAATAGTATAAAATGTAAGCAATTTGTCTGTCTCCTCAAAATGTCTATTTGAGATTTACCCACCTGACATTGTTCTCTCTGATATGCAAACTTCTGAAACCAGCACTGGATTTTTCACCAGCTTTGTGTCCAGACTTTGTTTTCTATGGAGACGTTCATAGAACAAGCGTTTGAACATTGAATCCATGGTGGTTCATTGTGCATTAGTTTGCAAATGAAAGGAAGGTTCTCACTTACTATATTATTGTTGTGTACATCTGCAAATAAGAAAAACAATAAACAAACTAATTAAACCAAATGATCAATCTAGCTCAGTCTACATCAGAGGTCTTGAACTCCAGTTCTCGAGGGCCGGTGCCCTGCAATTTTTAGATGCGTTTCTGCTTCAGCACACCTGAGTCAAAAAATTAAGTCACCAACAGGATTCTTCATAACTTGACTACATACTGAAAGGTGAGTCAGCCATTTGATTCAAATGTGTTGCACCAGAGACACATCTACAAGCTGCAGCACAATGTTCCTTGAGAACGTGAGATAAAGACCTCTGGTCAAGATCATCATCTTCTGCTTGTTTTTGAAAATGTGTCTCTTGTGCTGTAGGGATACATCTGCAGCAGGGATAAACCACTCTCCAAGCAACAGCTATGACACTTCTGTTGAAGCTCGAATTCAGAAGGAAGAAGAAGAGATCCTAATGGCCAATCGTCGCTGTCTCGATATGGAGAGCAGGTTGGGTACAGCACATGTAAATTAATTCTGGGCTTTAAAATGTGCTTAAAGTAGAAGATAACTGGACTTCTCTTGTATTTTGAAGAAATTTCATGCAGCTCATTCTGTACTGGTTGGGAGTAGCAAGCTTACGTCTTCGAATCAGAACAATTTCAAATATAGGACCATTGAAGTCACATACATGTGAGTCATTGGCCCATCAAATATTGAGCTGCATTCAGCTTAATATTTGAGTTGCCTGCCTCTCAGTCCAAAATTATCCACAGCAATGCCTGATAAGTTGTTTTGGTCACATGGTCCAAGATGTTAAATGCTGTGGAAAATGCCATGGGAGATGCCAAGGTGTTAAAAATGAAATTTGAATCCTCATTCATAGAAAAGTGTATAATTTTTGGACTGAAAGTTTTCAGTAGGGAGAATTACTGAAACTTGCCAAAACAATTCTAACTCATGAAACTGTGTGCAGACACACATTGCCTTTTATAAATCCTAATTTGAGATGAACTGCAAATTAGCATAAGTCTTCAGAAAGCTCCCACCAGCTCTCTGGATAACCATGGCTACAGCCCTTGCTTGAGTTTGTTTTCAGCAACAATTAATAATAATGATAATCAATTTTCACATGATCACACGATTATCCACATCATCTTACAAAAATATAAGCAATAAAATTAAAAACAAATTATTTAAAACAGAAAACAAAAAGAACAACTTTGATGAACAGTTCAGTTTATTTGTATATTGCCAATTCACAACAAATGTTGTCTCAAGGCATTTTACAAAAAACTAATTTTAATTCAACCATACACTAGGGGTTGCACCAACTAGTTGACTAGTCTATTCTTTACTCTGCAATGACTTTTTACTGGGCCACTCGATTAAATTTTTTCGAGTTTTGTGACGCAATCACGTCACAAAACTCATTTTTCCAAGAAAATGAAAGAAGGTGAACTAGGTGAGTCTGTCAGATAGCTCAAGTTATATAAAAATGTAAATAATTTATCAAAGAGGAACTGCAAATTTCAGCAAAGGCTACCGGAATAGGGGCGTTGCGTTCTCTCTGCCCCCTTACAGTTAGATTGCTGTCAAATAAACTAGTGCCGAAAAAAATCCTTTAAAAAGTAACAATAAAATACTACCGGAGTAATGTACAAATATAAGTCGTAATGTCGGGCTTTTTTATTCCTCCAACTGATCAGCGTCACCCTGCGTGTTGAAGCTTCCGATTTGTTGAAGCGATTTATGTTTTCGCATCCACCTGAATAATATGTAGTTGCGACCCTGTCGGGGCAGAGAGGCAGAGGGGCAGCGGCGGTAGGTGACCGCGGTAAAGCCAGCCGGCTCTTCGAACAGCCGACCTGCACAAGATATTCACGTGCGCGACCGCTCAAGACATTATGGTACAACCATTTACGTGCTGCTTTCACAATAAAAGCGCACATCCTGTTCATGGTTGATCCAGCCGCTGCAGTTGCAAAAAGAAATAATGTATCAGAAATAAGTGGGTACATCGTGCAATGCTGAAAAACTCTCTGTTTCCAGCGATTTCTCTCACTTCTGGGTGGAAGAAGAACACCTTTGGAACAAAACCAGCAAATGTCAACCCGATCTGATGTGTAATTCCAAAATAAAGGCCTATTAAAAAGCGCATTTTTACTATTTTTCCCCTAAGTTGCCATGCTTATTGCTTGAAAACTCTCTGTTTCCAGTGACTTCTCTCACTTCTGGGTGACAGAGGGACACCTCTAGAACACAACCCGAAAATGTCAACCAAGCCTATTATAAAAGCACTCCCCCCCGACCCCCTTAAGTTTCCCTGCCCATTGCTAAAAAAAAAACTGTTGCCAGTGAAATAACAAAATTTTCTGTTATGAGAGAGAGAGAGAGAGAGAGAGAGAGAGAGAGAGATGTATGCAACAGAAAAATTTGTATAAATAAGATGATATAATATGTATTTAGTGAGCTTTTTAGATGTATATGTTTAGAGACACCTAGGTGCGAGTGAGACAGCTCTTCACTACATTTTCTACTTATTTTGAATACAAAAGTAAAAATGTCTTATTTTAAAAGGCTTTTATTTTAAAATTATACATCAGATCTGGTGGACATTTTCTGGTTGTGTTCTAGAAGTGAGAGAAATCGTTGGAAACAGAGTTTTTCAGCATTGTGTAATGTCCCCAGTTATTTCTGATACGTTATTTCCAGTGACGTGCGGTGAGGTTCATTGCTGGTGAGGCACTGACTTATGACTTAGACACCACACATGTTATTGGTCCTACGGAAATTTCCCGCATGGATACAACGCTGGGGGCCAAAAAGACTAACCTTTTACATGTCATCCATAGCCGCGTTAACTCAGTGAAACTTAAAAATGTAGGTATTAATTTTGTGCTCTGATCCACAGCAAAGTGATCTGTATTCGCCAAGCTATGCAGACTTGTTGTCATAGCAACTGACAACAATGCCACTTCATGTTTTAGGATTTAACACCAAAAACATTAAATAATTTATTTTGCACACAGAACAGAACATTTAGTCTGTTGTTGTAGTATGTTTTAGGCTTAATGTTTAATTAATAAATAATGTGGTAGATTAGCTACCGCTTCTACTTTACTGAATTATTTAGACATACAAACTGTAGCCCACAAAACGCACATTTCATTAAAAAAACTAAACAAAAACATCTTATTGCTGTCTTACCTTTACTTATCAATGAAATCCATGCACCGCTAATTCTGCACAGAAATATCCGTTCATCCAAAGCCAAGTCTATTCTCAGCATGTCTTTTCTACTCCGTTTGAGAATCATCAAACTGTCTCGAAGCAAAACTTTCAGCACCGGTGTTGCTCTTCCTTTAGTTATTATCTCCTGCTTCAATTGAAAATCCACTTTAGAAAACTGTTTAAGTGTAGAAATGTAGTCTTTCATGTTGACATCGGAAGAGAGGAGAAAACAAATATATCGCTGTACTTTACTTATTAACTGTATGGCTAGCTCCATGGCTAGCTCACTGTGTCTTACTCTGCAGTTGTGCAGTCACAATATCTGGGATCATGAGCGCCCCCTGCCATGAGGCAAGAGAACTGCCTGCCTCACCTCGAGTCTGTTCTCTGCCGTTTCTGATCACTCCTCCGCACACAAAACACGATACAAACACAGTTAGTGACAAAAAACACTGTACATTATATACATGAGCGAAATTATGGAAAATCAGTCCATATATTAAATGTTTTTTAGTCATTTCATTGCCGGCGTACATACAGGACGAACTTGCTCCCATAGAATGGCAGCCAGTGCAGTTAGGGAGAGGTTGCGCAATCCCAGGTGAGGCTCAGCTCGCTGCTGCCTCACCGGCTTCGCTTCTGAGCATTTGCATGGGAAAATGCGAAAATCCAGCGATTTTTAAGAAAAAACTAATCAGAATTGGTTAAGCTAAGTAAAAAATAGATACTTTATAGTACAAACCACAGGGTGAAAATAGCAATAAAATGGTTTTATTTTTATATATTATTTTTCCATGATGACAGGTGAGGCTCTGCCTCACCTACCTCCCCTGACCGCACGTCACTGATTAGATAACATTAAAACAATAAATGCCATTCCACTGTTCCCAAC